AATACTCAAGGAAGAATATTAAAGGGAATGAATCCTACTATAGTTAAATATCAAGATGTTAACTAATTGTCATCTTAGTAACACTCCCCGATATTAACATAGAGGAAGGAATAGCTATTACTAAAACCAATGTCAAGATGTTAACTAATTGTCATCTTAGTAACACTCCCCAACATTGATATAGAAATAGTATTTAAAGGAAGAATTAATATTCAAGGAAAAGAAGTTAAGAAAATAACTCACAACTTTAATAATCAACAAGCTTCAAGAGCAATACCAAGAAATGGAAGTTTAGCTCCTCATTTGGAGACTAAACATGCTATAAAAATATAAAGGGAAAACTGTCAAATAGGTCCTCGAACTTTCATAAAAAAGTCAATTAAGTCCTTCTATACGAGACTCTGTCCGGTCGTCGCGATTTGGGGCGGTTCCCGGTGGAATTTTTTGATGAAATTGTTTCAGCATCTTATTCATCAAGTCTAGTTTACTCAAACCAAATTTCAACTAAAAATTCAATCGGGAGCGCATTCAAATTAATTCGAGAATGCAAAAATGTGCAGTTATCTTTATGAATTAATTTGAATGTGTTCCCGATTGAATTTTTAGCTGAAATTTGGTGTGAGTAAACTAGACTTGGTGAATAAGATGCTCAAAAAATTTCATCAAAAAATTCCACCGGGAACTGCCCCAAATCGCGACGGCCGGACATAACCTCCTATAGAAGGACTTAATTGACCTTTTTATGAAAGTTCGAGGACCTATTTGACTGTTTTCCCAAATATAAAAGAAATACTATTCTAAACTGAGCTTAAGAGTATGGAAGAAGGAGTGATTCTTTGTGAAGGAAAATGGGGTTATTTATAGGTATTTTTCAACACCTTGGGCCGGGTACCCGACCGGGTTAGGTGCTTACCCGACCGGGTCCGGTCAAAATCAGATATCCTCCACGTTCTGGCGATCTTCGGCACGTTCTGGTGTCCCGGGTCAAGTCTGACCCGACCGGGTCAAGTAGGGGACCCGACCGGGTCTGATGATTTTCCAGGCAGTTTCGGATTTTACATCAGACCCGACCGGGTGCATGGTATAACCCGACCGGGTTTGTGCTCCTGGGCACACTTATCACCTTTTTCTTCACTTCAAACTCTTCCTTTCCAACACCATAAATACTAACTCTACTTTCCAACTTACAAATGAAGATTAAAATACAATTACAACTAAAATCACATAAATGTTTACAAACTAAATAAAACGATAAACAATACACACAAATCAAACATAAAAACATACACTTATGCACTACTAATTAGTGCATATCAAACACCCCCACAGTTGAACCTTTACTCGTCTCGAGTAAACCAAAAAAATATCCCCAAAAATATAAGAGTAAAGAGGGGTCTTCAACTCCATATTTCTTATCAACCTCATTTTTTTTCGTTACCCTTAGGATCCTGCAGAAAAGAAAATACTTTCTCTCATTCTCTCATTTTGCCTAGGTGCCCTTTCGGGTTTTCATCCCAGCTTCCCACATTTTTCTGTTTCAATCCTCACAACTCACTCTTATTTTTTCTTTATTTTTGCTTAAGTTGCCTGATAACCGCTTTCGCGGCGTTGTAGTAAAACGGAGTCTAACCTTTCGGTTTTTCCCCGAGTGTCGTGTCTCTTGAGGAATGGCGGAGAAGTTTCTTAATTTAATTTTAGTCACGGGCTATCGCTAATCTTTGGAAGCTTTTTCAATATAGGAAAGTGATTTTGTTCTATATTATGCTAAATTATAACTAGGAGCAAGGTGCAATTTAAAGATTAATGTATAAATATTGAATATTCAAGGATGCAAATAAGGGCAATGAATTGAGTAATTAGAAATGGATATGTTCTTGGACCCCTTAATTAGGGAAATTAAAACTAAAATTGGACTAATAATTTCTTTCCTCATAGACAAGAATAGAAACTATCTTCATTAATTTATCCTATTTCTAGGTGTCATTAATGTGTTTAAAATGGTTGGCTTCAATTATTTTCTAAACCCATAGACAAGGTAGAAATAATTTTCCAATATTTTAATTAATAAAAATAGCCAAATTCATTAACTAGTTAAACTCTTTATTTTAGCAATTGAATTTATTTCTCATAGACAAGATGTAAATCCTTTTCATTAAATTATCCTATTTCTAGGCCTTATTAATGTGCTCAAATATGGTTGGCTCAAATTAATTTCTAATCTCATAGACAAGTTAGAATTAATTTTCCAAGAATTTAATTAATGAAAATGGCTAACTATTATTAATTACTATTTCATCGTTTTAAACAACTAGTCCAATTTATTAATCTTAACCCCTAATTTTAGGTCAACAAGTCAATCCATATTCCTTTTCTCAATTCATGCCCTAACAAATTTAGCTACTCATCATCATTTTTGCAATTAACAATATAATGATTAAATTCAACATTAACAAGGAATTAAACATGTATGATAGCAAAAATTAAACAAAAATTATATTCTGGAACAATAAACTTGTAAGAACTAAAATATAACTTTCTGGAATTTTTCACAAATTTTTGAACCTAAAATCCAATTTTTAACAACTAATTGATAACTTTCCCAATTTTAACTAGAAAATGCAAAAAGCAACTAAAAATATGCTAACTTCGTTATAAATTTTATTTTAACTACTGGGAGGTATATAACTGTGAATAAACTGTAATCAGGTCCGAACTAATTTTTTTTTCCTTTTTTTGTATTTATTTTGATTTAAGCAATAATATAAGGTAATTACCGAAATTAATAAAAAAAACGCTAAGTTCGTACCAAATTTTATATTAACTACTAGTAATGATATTTAAGTTAACTAAACTGTAAATAGGGCCGAACTCATTTTTTTCCTTTTTTTCTAGTATTTATTCTAAATTATGAACTAATATCAAATAATTACCAAAATTAATTAAAAATTACTTCTGCTTCGTTAAAAATTAATTTCTTCAGCTAAATAACTTCCTTGAGGCTAGTGAACAACTATATAATTAATTGGAATGAATTCAACAACAATAACTATTTTATTTAATTTTTGGAAGGAAATGCGAACTACTTGAAAAATAATCTGGAAATTTTCGAAGAACAGATTGAACAAACAAAGTGCAGATTCAGATTCTACTCGTTGAGAAGATGAAAATACATATAAAGAACTTACAATTTAGAGCTAAAATGAAGAAGATATGAAGATTTGAAGTTTCTCTCTCTCTAAGACCTTTGGAGCTCGAAAATGGAGGAAGAAAGAAGGTGTTTTGAACTGATTTAGGGTTGGAAGAGGTGTGTTTGAGTTGAGGAAAAATCGGGCTATTTATAGGAGAAATTTTCCCGAAGGCGGCCAACCAGGCGGCCGCCTTCCGCCTCTCTCCGGCCGCCTGCCGTCTTCGTCGCCGACAGCGGTCGGTGGCCGGTCCCCGTCAGCCGTAGGCGGCCACAGAGGGCGGCCGCCTTCCGTCACACATCGGCCGCCTGCCGTCTTTTCATTGTCAAATCGGATCGCGGCGGATCCCGGCGGATCCCGGCCGCCGCAGGCGGTCCAGCAGGCGGCCGCCTGCCGTTCCTGTCTGGCCGCCTGCCGTCAAATCCCACCGGCCGGCGGTTGCTTCGTCGTCTTCTGCCGCAGGCGGTCACCGTAGGCGGCCGCCTTCCGTCCAGTGTCGGCCGCCTACGGTCTTTTCCGAATCCGGTCAAAGTCAAAGTTTGACTTTCCAAAAATACCGTAGGCGGCCGCGGAGGCCTTCATTTTGGGCGCCTATTTGGGCGTCTTCGGCTACTTTTGTCTGGCAGATGCGGCTTTTCTTGCTCTTCAACTTTGTCTTCTGAATCACCTTGATAAAATGCTTGCTTCTTCCGGTATAAATGCATTTGTCACTCAAATTGACTCATTTTGTGCTCAATTGACCCGAAATCCCGCTAAACATATTATGGATGTGATTTTTACCTGATTTCATGAAACTTGAACCGAAATATATAAAATGTGTCTTTTCTTTCTATTTTCATTCAAAAATCGCTTAAATTTGATAAGAAAAATAAGTACGAAAATGGACTTATCAATCTCCTCACACTTAAGCGTTGCTTGTCCTCAAGCGACGAATTAGTTGTAAACACACTCAAAAGGTAAGCCTAACTGTATTACAATCTAATTGCTATTTTAAAGAAGTAGAAACAAAAACCTCATCTTTTATTCTCAATTTTTAAACATTTTAGAAAAATCACCCAAAATACAAGAGTTTAAAATTAGTATTACTTAAGAAAAACTATTTATTATGTTAAACCACCAATCAATTCCTTATCCCAAGGTTTTCATTATTTTAATTTGGACATTCATCTTGTTCACCATTTTTTTTTTTTTGCTCTTTTTCACTCTTGTTGGCGGTGTTATCCCATGGTAAATGCATATTTCATTCTCACAGACTGTGATTAACGAATGAAACAGAGCCCCTTTTCGGAGATGGAATTGTCCTATAACAATGAGTTTTGAAGAGGTTTATTAGTAGTAACATGTTTTTTTTTTTTTAATGAATAAAATGAATGTCCAATTAAAACAAATTCGGACCTTTACATTCGCAACCAAAAACCCATAACAATTTTAAGTTTTCAAAAATAATAATAAAAGTAAATTCTTATAATAAGGGTGATTATCTAAAGTATTTTATGATTTGATAACAAATTGAGAAATTAATGTTTCATATCAAAAATAGTAAAAAGATTGTTCTAAAACAAGGTTTTGACTTTTGAGTGTAAAACGCAACCTCCTCACACTTGAGCTGGACCTCGCCCTCGAGGTCTTCTTTTGAGGCACAAAATTGGGAAATAAAGGCACATTTTTTTTTTTTTTTTTTTGGTTCTTTCCTCACACTTGAGTTTTGAAAAGATTTTGTGAAGAGGAATAATGAAACAGGAGTAAAATGGTTTTTTTTTAAAATCCTTACATCATCCATAGTCAGTTTGTAAGAGCATTCAAGTCAAAAGAGCAGCGCAATGTCCAACCTGAAGAAACAAACAAACACAAAAAAAAATGTCAAGGAAGAAGCAAAACTAAGCATCGCCTGCGTAATCCCGAGGGCCATAGTGTGGCCTAAGCCAGTCTCTCATCTCATCAATATCTAGCCTCTGGGTCTCTAACTCCTCCTGCATATCCCGGGTGGCTCTCTCCTGAGCTAATCGAAAGTCTCTGAACTCTCCTAGGGCCGTCGCATGCGCATCTCGCATCTCCTGGAATCCTCTCTCCTGTGCATCTCGTATCTCAACAACTGAAGTCTGGAGACTCCGCATCCCCTCCATCATCGCTCTCCAATCTGCGGCGCTAGGCATGTCTGAAAAGGGCTCGCTAGATCCCTCATGTCCTGAGGGTCGAGAAGAACTACCCTGCTGGGTCGGCTGCTCAATACCTGGGAGCTCCTGAGTATTCCGCTTCTTCTTGATCCTCATGTTGGTAAAGGATGAGGATCGAAGAACGCGGATGCTATCCTGTAAGTGCAGTAGCCCCGGAATGTCTAGATCTGGGTAGAATGATCTAACGAGAGTAGTGATGAAAGGCCCTGCCTGGATAGTGCGCCGCACAGTCTTCCCCTGGCTCCGGAAGAAACGAGCCATAAGGACAGCCATATTCACCGGGATGCGGTGAATCAAACTCCAAAAGAATAGTATGTCCTTTTTGGACAACCTGTTTGTGTTGTTAGGTCGTCCAAAAAAACCACAAGAAAGTACGAACGAGAGTATGTACCAGTGAGTCTCCCTCCATTTGTTCGAATGGGGGTGCATCCGGAGAAATGATCTGGTGTCTGTGGAGTGTCTGTGCCAGAACTCATCAATGTCAAATGCCTCGGGTAAGCGGGTCGGAAGAGCACGGAACTCCTCAGTCTGTGTGTATGCTGGGGTATAGAGCCCCATCCTCCATCCGAGCTCAGCCACAGTTATGGAGTGCTCCATGCCTAGAATAGTAAACCTCATCCGAGACTCTGACCCAATAACAGCACCCTCCTGCACAGCCTGTCCGTAATGAGTGAACTGAACGGAGCACAGAAACTCCATCGTCAATGGAAGGCTGGCCCTCTCCTGAACGAATAGAATCCTCCGCCATAAAGAGTCTCCTAGCAGGGAATCAATCTCATCCCAGTACCCCCATTCCTCTAGCATCGTCGGGTCCAGGATCATGGGAGGAAGGAGTGTGCGGTATTGCCCCCATGCCTGGAAGCGTCTGCGATCAGCAATAGTAGCAAATGGGATATCAGGCTGAGGTGGCGGGTCTTCCCGTCCTAGTGGTGGCTCCTCGAAAATGGGATCGTCACGTCTTCCTCCAGACATCTGCAAGAAATAAACAAAGTAAATATTTTTGGGTTAGTTTTTTTTTTTTTTTTTTTTCTTTTTTTTTTTTTTGGTTGTTGGGTTGCCTCCCAATGAGCGCTTCTTTAACGTCACTAGCTTGACGAATGTCCTCCTTTGGTTCAAAATTTTTGGAGATAGAGAATATCCTTGCTTTTTTCAATCGGGCCGCCATGGTAGAGTTTAAGTTGGTGGCCGTTGACCTTAAAGGGACCCCCATTAGCATCTTCAATCTCAACGGTTCCGTAGGGGTAAGCTTTTATGACCTTGAACGGTCCGGACCATCTTGACTTAAGCTTTCCTGGAAAGAGCTTCAACCGGGAGTTGAATAACAGCACTTTATCTCCAGCATTGAAATCACGAGCCTTGATGTGTTGATCATGGTAGAGTTTGGCCCGTTCTTTGTAAAGTTTAGAATTATGAAAAGCTTGCGCTCTCCACTCTTCCAGTTCATTCAGCTGGTAAAATCGTTCCTTCCCTGCAGCATCCAGTTTAAAACAGACATTTTTCATCGCCCAAAGTGCTTTATGCTCGAGTTCGACGGGTAAGTGGCAAGACTTCCCGTATACAAGGCGAAAAGGTGTGGTTCCGATCGGGGTTTTGTAAGCAGTCCGAAATGCCCAAAGAGCGTCGTCAAGTTTAGTTGACCAGTCTTTCTTGGTCTGGGCAACAGTTTTCTCCAGAATGGACTTCAAGTCCCTGTTAGCGTTCTCCACTTGTCCCTGAGTCTGGGGGTGGTACGCTACTCCGCTTCGATGTTGGACTCCATATTTGGCCAAAATTCTAGCCATTGGATCATTGTGGAAATGAGTCCCTCTATCGCTGATCAAAACCCTAGGCACACCAAATCTGGTAAAGAGCTTTTTCAGAAAATTCACGACTACTCGAGAGTCGTTGGTGACACAGGCCTGGGCTTCAACCCATTTAGAAACATAATCAATGGCCACAAGAATGTATTTGTTTCCTCTTGAGCTTGGGAAAGGTCCAACAAAGTCGATGCCCCAAACATCAAATACCTCACAAGGTAAGATAAAGTGTTGGGGCATCTCATTGCGCCCAGAAATGTTCCCGATTCGTTGACAGTTATCACAAGAGGAAACAAATTCATTAGCATCTTTAAAAATCGTGGGCCAGAAGTACCCACAGTCCAAAACCCGCCTTGCGGTTCTATTCCCTGAAAAGTGGCCCCCAGTAGGACCGCTGTGACAATGCTCCAGAATGTCCCTTGCCTCAGCTTCAGTAACACATCTTCTCACCACCTGGTCAGCACAAATTCGGAATAGATATGGATCATCCCAAAAATAGTGCTTTGCTTCTGATAAGAACCGCCTTTTCATGTGCCTTGTCAGTTCGGTAGGCTCGACTTTACCAACAAGGTAGTTGGCAATGTCGGCATACCACGGTGTTTGCTCCTTGGCGGAAATCGCCATCAATCTCTCAGCAGGAAAAAGCTCCTCAATTTCGCATTTTCCGAAAGTTTCTGCTAACTCGGCATCTAACCTCGAGAGGTGATCAGCTGCCTGATTAGCAGACCCTTTTCGGTCCCTGATTTCAATATCAAATTCCTGCAACAAAAGAACCCAGCGTAACAGTCTAGGCTTAGCATCATGCTTTTGGAGGAGATATCTAATGGCCGAATGGTCGGTATAGATAATAACCTTCGAAAGAATGATGTAAGTCCTAAACTTCTCTAAAGCACAAACAATAGCAAGGAATTCTTTTTCAGTGGTAGTGTAGTTGAGTTGTGGCCCTGACAGAGTTTTGCTAGCGTAGTAGATTGGGTGGAAGTTCTTGTCCTTCCCTTGACCAAGGATGGCCCCTACTACTAAGTCACTAGCGTCACACATGAGTTCAAAGGGTAAGCTCCAATCTGGGGCCACAAGCACAGGTGCATTGATCAGTTGTGTTTTAAGTGCTTGGAAAGCATGGTGACATTCATCAGAGAATATAAAAACCGCATCTTTTTCAAGTAACCGGGTGAGAGGTTTTGCGATTTTAGAGAAATCCTTTATAAAACGACGATAAAAGCCCGCGTGTCCTAAGAAGCTGCGGATGGCTTTTACCGTGGTTGGTGGAGGAAGTTTCTCTATTGTCTCAATTTTTGCACGGTCCACCTCTACCCCGTTACTTGACACTTTATGTCCAAGTACTATACCCTCTTTCACAAGGAAGTGACATTTCTCCCAACTTAGGGCTAAATGGGTTTCCTTGCAGCGGATAAGTACTTTTTCCAGGTTTTCAAGGCATTTTTCAAATGTTTCCCCAAAAATAGAGAAGTCATCCATGAATACCTCCATGAAGTGGCCAATGTATTTTTCAAAAATGGCAATCATGCACCTCATGAAGGTGGCAGGGGCATTACAGAGACCAAAAGACATCCTACGAAAAGCAAAGGTCCCAAAAGGGCATGTAAACGTAGTTTTGTCTTGGTCTTCCGGGTTGACATGGATTTGGAAGTATCCACTCATGCCATCCAGGAAACAGTAGTGACTATGGCCTGCCAACCTCTCTATTAATTGATCGATGAAGGGAAGGGGAAAATGGTCTTTCCGGGTGGCTTCGTTCAGTTTGCGGTAATCGATTACCATTCGCCACCCGGTAACAGTTCGACTGGGTAGAAGTTCGCCCTTTTCATTTTTCATGACGGTCATTCCCCCCTTTTTGGGGACAACATGAATAGGGCTTACCCACTGGCTATCAGAGATGGGGTAAATGATACCCGCATCCAGCAGTTTGACAATCTCGGCACGCACTACTTCCATCATGTTTGGGTTTAAACGTCGTTGTGGTTGGACAACTGGTTTAAACCCTTCCTCAATTTTGATGGTGTGGGTACAAAAGGTGGCACTACATAAAAATTGATTTATAGAGGCAACTCTTCGAGGCAACTTATATTCCGTTGTCTGTAATAGTATGTTTTACCATCATATAAGTTACAGTTGCCTCTAAAAACTATCATTTGAGACAACGATATTTTACTTGCCTCTAAAAATTATCATGTGGGAGCAACCATACTGGACTTGCCTCTAAAAGTATCATTTGGGTGCAACTTTCTTATGACTGCCTCCAAAAGTTTGACACAAAAGCATAATTGCCTCTAACGCATTTGCTTCTAAAAGTTTATTGAGGCAATAATACATTTGCGCCTCTAAAATATACATTTAACGTTAACTAGATTAGGGTGGCCTCTAAATGTGTTTATACACGTAATTGAATTTACACAATAAACTTAACATGTTCAAACATGTTTACAGACTTGTTATTATTAATTTTATTGGGAAGTAAATTTTAATATTTTTTCCTGCTCACCTTTAAAATCCCCTCAACTTAAATTTTCAATTTGTTTTATATTTTACTGATGAGAAATAAAACATATCAATGATCAATTGTGTTATACATTGATAAACGTGAAATAGAAACATTGCAATTAAAAAAGAATGAAAGAAGTATTACTTTTAACATCTTTCCTACTTACCTTTAACGATTTGAGAAAATATTGTTTTTAACGTTTGTGCTTCTTAGGACGGAGTAACTTTTAATTTCAACGTGAAAAGTTCACTGAGGCTAATAACACATTGACCCGGCCTCTAAAAGATATATTTAACGTTAACCAAATTACGGTGACCTCTAAGTATGTGTATACACGTGATTGAATTGACACAATAAACCTAACATTTTAAAACATGTTTATGAATTTATTATTATTAATTTTATTGGGAAGTAATTTTAATTTTTTTTTGTTCACCTTTCAATTTCCCTCGACCTAAAATTGAAAACTTTTATTTTTTTTATTCGTTTACTAATAAGGAATAAAATATATCAATGGTCAAGAGTATATATTGATAAAAGTGAAAATAGAAACATTATAATTAAAAAAGAAAAAAGAAGTACTCAGTACTCCCTCCGTATTTTAAAATTTGCTACACTTTCCTTTTTTGGATGTATTTAAAAGTTTGCTACACTTTCCCTTTTTGGCAAGTTTTTCCTTTAAAAATACTCAATTACCCCCACTTTTTCTACATTTTATCTTCTCTTTCATATTTTTCCAGTTTCTCTCCTACTTTTTTCACACTATTCATTACCCCTACTACTTTACCCTTAAATCTTGTGTACAAACCTATTGTAGAGAACATTGAAATAGAGAAGGGAGGAGTATTATTTTTGACATTTTACTGCTCACCTTTAGGCTTTTTTTCGCAACATACCTTTTAGGCTTTTGTTTCCCACAAAGAATCTTTTACATTGAAATCTTTGTTTTTCGCAACACACCTTTTAAAAGTATTAGAAATATATACTCCGTATTCAATATTTTGCTGCTTATTACACCGTACCTTCTAGGCTTTTAGCAAGTACTCCGATTTTTTTTTTTTTTTTTTTTTTTTTTGCATTTTACCGCTAACTCTTTTAAGAGTATTGATTTTTGGCGCTCAGAAATTTCAAGCTCCCGCACCTCTTCTAGCTTAACCCTAACCTTTTCTTTTCATTCTTTCTTCAAATTTTCCAAATACGAGAGGGAAACGCTGTGAGATAGGAGACTCAATCGGCCAGAGGGAGACTCAATCGGCCGGAGGGAGACTCAGTAGGCGAGAAGGACGACTCAAGAGTGACTCAATCGGCTATTCATTGCGGCGATTTACCGCGGCGATTCAGCGATTTGTTGTGCCGGTGCTCCTCCTCCTTCGAGCTTCATATTGTTCTTCTTCTCCGGCCTTCTACTTAGCTTCTTTAACAGGTTAGTATTATTTATACTTAATTCCGTATCTCTATGTTTGACAGCTAGGATAAAACTTAAATGTGTATGATTTTGGGTACCTCTGCAACCAAATAGCCGATTCTTGTATACTTTGGGGAAATAATGGCCCGAATACAACTAATCAGCTTTTGATTGACAAAACTATGACAAAATTCAACTTGGGCAAAAAAGTTACTTTAACGCAACTAACCCGTCGACATTTTCATCTAGCTTCACCCCGTCTCTTGTCTTTCTTCTTGCAGTAACAATTCAACCGACATCTCTCCTTCCTCCTCTTCTAGGCTTAGTCATTCCATCTCTTTCTTTAGGGCTTCGCTGCCGCAGTTCTTCCGCCGTCGTCGCCGCACAACAAAAACTCTTCTCCTTCACCGATGCAACCGCCGTCATTCACCATCTCCATCGACTGCAACTGAAACCGACTACCTTCTCCGTCCTCCTCGGCGGCCACGCCTCCACTGGTACTATGGCTGACGGTGCCGGATTCGCCTTTCAGGATGGATTACGACTCGATTTGAGACCGTTAGTTTCGAATCTGTCAACCTCGGTGGACGACGTCTCAGATCCATCCACCATCCTTGATGTTGGAGAGTGGCCTGTGGGAACGACAGGGGGCAGGGGAAGGAGCTGGGGATAGGGGCTAGGGGCTGGGTTTGGGATCTGGTGCGTAGGGATGTAGGGGTTTGGTGCGTAGATCTAGGGGAGCGATGGCGTTGGACGGGGTAGTGGCGGGTGGTGGTTGTAACAGATCTGGCGGCGGCAACAAAGTGTCCGGTGACTTGGGTTGTGGACCGTGCTAATGGTGCAGTGGGGGTGCATGCACTCATGGGCCAGGGCGGTGACGGCAGTCACTGGCCGGTGGGGCGCGCGACGGCAGTCAATGGCTGGTGGGGCGATGGCAGGTCACTGGCCGGTGGGGCGACAGTAGTCACTATGGTCGAAATAAGTCACTGGGCGGAGCAAGGTGGTCACTATGGTCAGAGCAGTCACTGAGCAGCGGTCACTATGGTCGGAGCAAGTCACTGAGCAGTGATCACTATGACAGGGGCAAGTCACTGTGCAGTGATCACTATGATTGGAGCAAGTCACTGTGCGGTGATCACGATGGCCGGAGCAAGTCACTGGGCGGTGGTGCGGCAAGGGTACTGGCGGCGCCGGTGGTAACAATGACGGTTCCTATGGATGGCCCGAGAACTCTTTCCCTATTTCTTAGTATAAAAATTCATTAATATCTTTTTAGTAATACACCTGCTCTTAAATGGATTAGTGTCCAACATATTAATGGCCTTGGAGTGTGCAACGTGTATAAAACTAGTCTTATTTTTGGACTTTTGAAACTTAACTCACTTTTTTGAAAATTTGTTAATTAATAGTAATATTTGAATATAAAGGGCCTACTTTGGGTACATCTGAACCCTATTACCTTTACCTTATACTGCTAATAGTTTATTTAAATAAGTTTGGAGATGCGTATTTGATGCTATTAGAGACAATTGCATAACCAATAGTTTTCTTTATCCTGTGCGGTTAATTGACATATTTTCTTCCCTTTATATATTAGTTACCCATATGATTCACCCTCCTTATATGAATATTTATAGATCAAAGAAGATTATTATGAAGTCCAAGAATCATGAGTGCATGGAGTATAAATGAAATGACCCAAAGTATCATTTTTCTGAGTCTATGACCAATCTCCTGCGTGGCTTTGCCACTGCCAGTCGGCAATCTTAGGACATTAGGTCGGTTAGCTCTACTGCCATAGGTAAGTTTCAGTAGTAATATTATCAATTATAGTATATAACTATACGTCTATACATAGTTGTGAAATATGGTTCATTTGCCACATATTTCCCAGTGCCAATTTATGTCACATTTCCCAACAAAGCTAAAGTTACAATAGATGTCACAGTCAACCTTGTATTGGGAAAAAATAGCAATGATACCTTGAGTTTGATGGTTGGACTTCGGGTAAGAGATTGCTTGCTTTATTTTTCATTTTATGTATGCAGGAAGTTGTTATATGAATATTTGTTCTAATTTTGAATTGATACTTCAGCATTATGGAGGACACTTTGCAGATTTAAAGGGAGAGAGTATCACTAGTCTGGTGCAGCTTAATGATTCCAAAAGTGGAATAATTGTTGATCTTTCCTCACAAGTGTGGACATATCAGGTTAGCCTTTTTTCAGAAACTTTCAAAAGTTAGTAAACATGCACTCATCGCCTTTTTAACACTAATGAATGTGCAGGTTGGTTTAAAGAGGGGGAGAGTTGAGACTATTCAATGGAGATTCTTCAGTTTGGGTGACAAGGTCTATTTTACCCAATCTATTTTTAGTGGGGACTAAATTGGCACAATCAAATTCAAAACACCAAAAATGATAATTGCACCAAAACCAAACTATACTAACTAGCATTTATTGTTCTACCAGGCCACCTTTGATCCCTTGTTGGGGATGATCTGCTTGCTATAGATTTCACAGAGATGGGAAGGGAGAGGCATGGGTGAACGGGAAAAGCATTGGGTGGTATTGGCTAACATAAGTTGCTCTAAGTGGTGGTTGCACAGTCTCTTGTGACTATAGAGGACTCTATACATCTACCAAATGCCTCAAAAAATTTAGAAAATCTTCTCAAATCAAGTATGTATTCCCCAACCTTGTAACATTTCAGATTTTATATAATAGTAGGAAGTTCAAATAATTTTGTGAATGGAAACACAAAGTTTCATGTTTGGACTACAACTAAGGTCTATTTGACATATGGTTAGCAATCTTGACTTGTATAGGCCACTTTTTGTTTTGGTTTTTTGTTTTCATTTATTTGATTCACCTTTTTTATGCCTCGACACTTTTGTTTAGGAATTGTAGAAAAGGCTGAACTGGCAGGGAGAAAAATAATGAATTTTTCCACATCTTTATATATTTCTTTAGAATGATAGTCAAATTTTAAATGTAATATCAAATAGTGATAATTTGATTAATAAAGTTGCACTTTTGTCAAAGTTTTTGGTTTCAGCCTAATAGCCTTCATTATTTAAGAGGGAGATAACTTGAATTTAATTATTTCATTTATTATGCTTTGTTTAAAGGTATTTTTTTATGGTAATAACTTTATTATGTCAAGAGTTGGAGGAGTGGTACATGGTAAAGAAGTTCAGATGCCATTCAATGAGTATGAGTAGTGAATACTCCCAGAATATTGAAGCTAATAAGCTCAAAATGAAGCCTTTGGATATAAAGAATAGAATGGCTAGTTTTGTTGATATCACTAAATAAAAGAATAGGAAACTGAAACCTAAACGTAGTATTAAGGAAACTGGAATCTGAAATCTAAACCTCAAACTGATGGTATGACAATAAAACTTAATGTTCTTGGTGTAGCTTTTTCCAGCAATAAAAGTGTACAAGAAGACTTGCATTGGAAGTGACAACACTACAATGACTAATATTGCCAAGGAAACTACGGTAAGCAGCTAAACTCCATTACAGTCTCTAACTTAATCTAAGGGTGTTACCAGATGTCCTTTTATTATTATCAAGTCCATTATATTATTTCACTTGTAGCTTAAGTAAAAAAAATAACTGGCTAATCTAGGAGTATTATAATTGTGTTATTATTTTTTCTGAACTCACTAACTGATGAATATTAAACATTATTGAATTAAATTCATTATTAACAATCTGTTACGTAATTGCGTTGGGTTAATAAAGATGTGATTAATGCACTTTTCCAAATAACACATGATGTGTGGTACTTGATTAAGTTGATATATGCAATGTATTATTCATTGAGACAAAGTGCATAACTTGTTACTCTATATTTGCTCACAAAGAAGTGGTTAGTGTTAACAAATTATTTGGCTAGAGATGATTTATACATGTATTTGTTACCAGGTCATTGCAGCCTATACTGATTTTTATTGTTATATATACTACATGTAATTGCAGACAACAAGATTGTTTATACATGCAAGTTGAATATATTGCAAAAGAACATTTATCAATTAGTTAGTTTGTTTGTTTGTTGTACTAGTGCAATATTATAGTTAGAGAATATGTATTTTCCGGACCAGTTAACTTGAAAAAATCATTTGACGACCTTCCCGATCGAATTTTGAGCTGAAATTTGGTATGGACAAACTAGACTCGATGAGGAACATGCTCAAAAAATTTCATCAAAAAATTCCACCGGGAAGGTGCCCAAACGGGCTCGGCCGGACGGGGCAGCCCGTCAGGCCGGCCTGATGAGAAGAGCTCTCATTATAGTTATAGACTATTTAAGATAAACTGATTGAAGGTTGTTTATTATCTTGTTTGTTGAAGGTACACTAGTGGCAGATTGTATATATCTGAGTACAATGTTTGCAAATGTTTCTAAGATGGTGATGTGATGATGCCGATAGTGATCATGGAAATGCTGACGGTGATGATGAAGAAGAAAAATTATCTCCCTGGAGCAACATTTTTATTTTTTGGATCTATTCTGGTCCACATTTATGTTCTGCACAGTTGCTAAATTATCCCTGGTGTTGTTTATTAGTAATTTACTTCAAACGAATAGTTCATGTAATAAATTTATGTATTTATTGAATTACATTATATTTTGACTTTCTTCGTAATAAATTTACTAAATTTATTTATTTATTCAATTACATTCTATTTTATGTCTAAAAGAAAAATCCGATTACTGCTTCTATTAACAGATGTTTGTCTCTAAATGTAGACGAATGTTTGTCCCTAAAAAGCTTTCAAAACATAAAAGCTGCACCGTAACATTTTTAATGACTACATAATGTAGCCTCTAAAAGTCTCTTGAATCATTCCATATGGTTGCCTCTAATTGTATTATGATTTATGAGACAATAGAGTGTGATTGCCTCCGATGTATTTTTGAGGCAAAGGGATATGGTTGTTTCTAAATGTGTTTGTTTAGAGGCATATCTTTTGTTGCCTCTAAAGAGGGTTTTAGAGGCAAACAACATTTAGCGACCGATTCTTTGTTGGCAACCTCTAAATTGCCTCCATAAAGCATTAGAGGCTAATTTCCTATTTTTTGAGGCAATTATGACATGCCTCTATAAACCATTTTTATTGTAGTGTGGGGCTAATTCCATTGATGTCCTCAAGTTTCCAAGCAATTGCTTGCTTGTGTGTCTTAAGGACTCCAAGTAATTTCTCCCTTTGTTCCTCACTTAAGTGTGCGGCGATGACGACAGGGCATTTGCCTTCGTCATCCAAGAATGCATATTCTAAGTGGTCGGGCAGTTTCTTTAGTTCGAGGGGGTGGTCGTTTTTCAAGTTTTGTTCATTTTTCTCCCCCTCAAACTCAGTCAATACTTCGTTAGAAGCTTGATCAATCAGCGCATCCTCACAGCTCTCACATGCATCACTCACATCACTGTTGGCCTTTTTTAACAGACATGCTTCATCAGTTACATGTCCATTTTCTTCCCCAAACAGATACCCTTCAATAGACTCAAAGGTATCAAGAAAATGACATCCTTGAAAGGAATCTGTGGGGTGTTTCATAACATCTGAGAGTCGGAAGGTGCATAGATCATCTCCGACTCTTAGAGTTAATGAGCCATCAGTGACATCAAT